GGGTCGCGGAGGGGTGGCACCGCGCCTTGCGCTTGAGGTCTGCTCTATCTGGGAGGTGGGGCCGACCTCTCAGCTCCGCTTTAGGAAAGCGACGGCTATTTTATCTTGAGAATTGTACCTTCAACATTACGTGTCCTTTCTGTCTGGCTTATGCTTTCCAGCCCGGATTCTATTCTGTCTGATATTCAGATCACGACTGCTGCCTTATTTTTGTTTGTATTTTCCTGGAATGCATTTGCAATGGTTAAATTTTAACCTTCTTCACTTTGTTTTAGGTGTCTCCTGGAGACGGCAGAGTTGGGTTTTGCCTTGTGACCCAATCTGCAATCTCTCCCTTTAACTGGTGAGTTAAATCCGTTCACATACATTATACGGTATGTTGAGTCGCGGTTGGGTCACATTACTTTCTGTACATGACACCAAAAGGGGCAGAAATATATCCAATGAGCTGGAGCTGGGAAGTAATGGAGCCACCGCGCCCAGGAAGTGGGCTGGGGCTCTGGGGGAGTCCTGGAGCTGTCTTTACCCTTGTCCTCGACTTATTTCAAAGCAATATTTGAAAGGACAGAGTGACATTTTTAAATGGTTACACTGCAAGGTGCGCTCCCCTTCCGCTGCACATACAGGCTGTGTCCCTCGGCCCCTGTAGAGGCAGCCTAGGCCTCCCCGGGCCTCTGGGCTTCATCCACAGGCCAGGGCCTGCTCTGCTCTCAGCGGGAACACGAACTCTGGCAGAGAATTAGCTTAAGCTCCGCGTGGCACCGTGCTCTCCTCATGCCCAGGTGCAGTTGGCTCTTACCCTTCCTCAGTCAGCCTGAGCCCAGATCTGTCTAGACTGCCTTTCAAGGGGATGCACCGCACAGCCCAGGAACACAGGCCACTGTCACATAAACCCGACACACTCCAGACTCGTGGGTGGGCAGCCCCTGACTGCCAATCCCTGATGTCAGGCTCCTGGACACACCCTCTCACAGAGGGTGGGCAGGAGTGACTATGCCTGGCCTGGGGGTGGAACTCAGCAAGACACAGGTGTGACCCCAGGGCCCCCTCCCCGACAGCACTGGCTGGGCTTATGCCTGAGCCCACCCTCCCCCTGCTCCATGGGCACAGGAGACACTCAAGCCCTGCTGCAGGCGTCCGTCCACAGCTGGGGTCTCTGGACATCACAGCAGTCCCTGAGTGGCTTTTTCTTCAGTCTAGCTTTAGTGAAAAGACAATTCAGCTTTTAATGTAGAAAAATCTGCAGACTCACAAGAGATGTTTTAAGATGTGTCACACGTTTATTGCCATCCACAGACAGGAGGAAGCACTGAGCTGCGTGCTCTGGGTGCTGGCACTGGGGTCCGGCTGTGCCGGGGGTGTCACAGTTGTGTGGGCAGCTGCTCCTTCTCACCGGCTCCAGGGTCAATGCAGCCCTGTAACACATGGCACAGCGGCTGCTCAGTCACCTTCCTGACACAAGCTGGCTAAACTTCCCTTACGTGTAAAGGACCATTCGAAAACTTTGGGGGGCGCTAACTCTAAGGCAGACAAAACCTCACATTCTTTTATTTACTTCATGGTTTGGAGGATGCTCAATTCACATACACAGAAAACGGCTCAGATTTGTTCTCTCCTGGCACTTCCTGTTGCACTGCTTCCTATTTTCCCGCCCACAGCTGGGCGCTCAGCTCCAGGCCAGGAGGCTCCCGCCCTGCACCACACACTGGGGGACCGGTGTCTCCGGAACGGCTCCACCTCCACAGCACCTGAGTGAGGACTGAGAGATGGCTCCCAGAACACCTGGGGTAACCCGGGCCTAACCCCCCAGTTCTGAGGGAACGCAGTCATGGGAAACGCACCCCGAGAAACTTGCACCACCTAAGCTTGTTTTTCTTATACTGAAAAAAGACGGATTAGAATGTTAGTGGATAACCTCGGAATAAACTCAAGGACAGGGCACAAAGCAGGATGTCACTTGAAAAAAAAAATTTTCTATATTTAATGCTACTATATAAAGTCTCTCCAAACCACTCTTCCATTTGCAAGAGAATCAGTTTCTGCTTGAAGCAGAAAGATAACAGCTATAAGAATCAGAACATGTAGAATCTAAATGACGTGTATCGTTTTATGATTTGTTCTATAAGATACTGATTTCTCAGCCTAGCTTAAAATGCTGTGTCACTGACAGGCATCTTTGAGTGTCGGTAAGCCATCCCTTTTGGATCAGAACAGATTCTTCATACACAGCAAACCACCGTGGGGATTTTTCTGGCTGGGCTCAAATGGCACCATATAGCTGGCTCTTAAACTATGTGAAATGTCATATATAAGAGGCGTTGGAAAAAGCAAGTTGGAAAAAGAAAAGAAAGTTTTAACTTGGTACAATTATTTTCTTTTAACACATCACATTAAAAAAAAAAAATCAAAATATCACAATTTTTCACCCTTACCCCTATTTTGAGGAGTCTGTAGATGAAGCCTCTCTTTGGTCTGAGAACTGATTCTGTTTTGTCTTCCAGATCTAATGCCATACTTTCCTCACTTTTACTTTCGTTGATGTCCTTGAAACATTCAGATTCGATCATCTGCATCCACAGAAGAGCAAGACAGAGCGGTGGAGACACGGCGAGGTCGGTGAGGTCGGGCGGCCACCTCCCACCCAGCGTGCTAGCGCCCTGGGGCCAGTCCAGTCCTCAAGGCCTACTTCCCCTGATGCTTGGCCTCTTCTTGGGTGAGGAATGTGGCTTCCTCTTGCCCTCTCTCTGAGCGTACCCCCAGAGGTGTCACTACCATAGGAACCATGGTGCCAGCCAGCCCTGAGTAGGACTCGGGGCTGGCAAGCCACCACTGCACCCAAGATGTCCACCTCCTATGACAGGACCAAGGGCAGCTGCAGTGAATAAATTTTATCTCTACACACACGTATGTAAAATAGCTAAAGACTATATTTTAAAGAGGAAACTTCTGTACACACACACGTCTCATCCTTTCCGCCTTTGTCCTCGTAACTAGCGTTAGCCCGCTGTGCTGTAAAGGGCAGTACCTCATTCTGCCAGGGTATGGAGACACAGCCCGTGACAAACTGGCCATAGAAGGTGTTGTCAGCAGTGTCCAGGCAGACCCCCTTCACCGTGGAGAACCGCTCGATGTCCAGGACGTCCTTACAATAAACTGCTTGCGGCTGTGCACCGGGAACAAGGATGCGCTGCCCGTGAGGTCACGGGGTTGTCACTGTCCCCACCGACTAAGAATACCATCCAGACCTGGGCCCCCATCCCGCTCCCGTGTCTTGGCCAAGCCCGTCTGAAACATTTCCTGCCCCTTCCCCATGCTCGGCATCTCAGACCCGCAGACACCGTCCACTCCAGCTCTCTCGCTACTGTCTCACCCACAAACCTCCTGAGGCCCCAGCATCTCTTCTCTGCCGTGGAAAACGGATGCCAGACAGAGGCCGGGTGAAGAAGGTGGGCCGGGTGCTCTTGTTGGGACACTGAGAAGGCCGGAGGCCATTGGCTATGGATTCCGCACCCGCCCCGGCCCTCGGCTTCCTCCCTTCACATGACAGCCCCCTGGAAGGGTGGGCCTGGCGAGCGGGTCGGTGATGCTCTGGGACAGAAGCGGCACTGCTGTCCTGGGGCAGAGGCGGCTGGCCAGCATGTTGGGGCACCTGCCCATGCCTCCGGGGATGGGGAGCAGAAGGCACTGAGGGCAGCCACAGTAGGGCTGAGCCCGTGCCAGAGGCACCCTGCAGCTCTGAGGAAGTCCTACTGCCTGCCAGGACTTGCACACAGATGGCTGTGATGACCAAAGGAACACAGTTCCCTAGGTCACTGGTCGGCCCGCTCTGAAACCATCTGTCACAGGGTGGGGAAATGAAAGCCTCAGGAGACAGCCCAGGGACAGGCTCAAATGAAACTGCCTGTCACATGACCATCTGGCTCTCCTGTCACCTGGCCCCCACAGGTCTCTCTGGGTGAGTCTAATAGAACCCCCAGGTGCCCTGAGCCTCAGCAGGTGTCTGCTGTCACGCCTCCTGCCTCAGAGAACTCTGTCTCAGGCTTGTCTTCCCTGCTCCGGACCCCAAGCAGCCGCAGAGCTGGTGGACAGAAGGCTCTCGGACCAATGGCCCATCTGAAGCCCCTGCCTGGCTTTCCTCAGCCTGGCTTTGCTCTACCGCCTGTCTGTGCAGGCTGGGACAGTCTCCCTGGCTGCAGAGGCCTTGCTCGCTGTCCTCCTTGGGGCCCGACACCTACAGCTGTGTCTGGCTGGTCGCAGGCGTTCACTAAATATGTGACGCGTGAACTCATCCAAAGGAAGAAGTTACTATATAAGCTACATGGATATAAAATAAACCTAAGTCCCGAACGGGACAACTGAAACGATTTTAACTGCACATCTTACTCCCATCACACCCTGCAGAATCATCACCTTATCGTCACATTTCTATAAGATACCTGCAGCAGACTGTTCCCGCAGGGATTCCCACCAGAAACTGACCTGTGCCAGCCCTGGGCCAGGCACCCATTTGGGCCCCTCACCTCACTCACTAGCAGGCTCAAGTGGCCACTCTGGGGCTCTCAGTGTGGAGCCAGGACCTCTGAGACCTGTAGTGGGGAGGCCGATTCCAGACTAAAGAAGGGAAAGTGCCAGCACCGATGTCAGAAAGGGACGCTGGTAACAAGGAGAGCCTTGTGGGGCACGCCAGGAGAGCAGGGCTGAGATTTCTCGAGGGCGGTGACATGCGCTCGGCTCCACCAGCAAGCACGGCCCACAGCAGACACCAGGCCGGAAGCCAGAGCACTGCCAGGAGGGCCTGGGGGGTATGGGGGGAAGTGGGGAGCACTGTGAGCAGAAGCCACGCCACGTGGGTCAGGCCAGCCATGTCCCGGGACCCCAGGCCCCCACAGCCGCACGGTACTCACGTCGGGGCAGAACGGGGGCTCTAGCATGTTTGCCTCCAGCCGCCTGAAGTTGATGTCCTTGAACACGGGGTGCTGTTTCACTCCGGCTGCTCCGTCACCCTTGCAGCCCAGGCGCTGTTTCGGGTTCTTGGTGAGTAACTGCAAGAAGCAGAAATGGAGTCAAAAAGCTCCAAGGATGAGAAAGAAAACTCAGAAAACCTCCATAATAATCAAAAATCGGGGAAGGGGGGAGAGGAGCACTCCATCTAAACGGTCACTCAAATTTCCAAGTACTGACCAATTCATTCAGATTCTACTAATTCAGAATACGTGATGCTTCAAAAAGAAGTTGAAATTCAGTTGTGCCTCTGAGTGATCAATAAATAGTTGGCTAAGTAAATCCTTCAGTAAAAACAAGTTAACCCTATAAATATTAGGGGAATTTTTAAAAAGAAATAGAAACTAGTACTTCAGAGATACCACGTTAACGCTAAGTTACTCAGAAACCATTTTAATCTTTTCATTACGTAGATCACTAAGGATCTCAGGCAAGAATCAGCAAACCTACTTCTAGAAATTGTACATTCTTAAAATTAATAGAAAGTATCTCTTTCAAAAGTATTCCTTATAAATGTATAACTGTCACTAATTAAATTGGGCCTTCCTCCAGTTATCATCGAGCAGCACGGGAGAGCCCTGGACCTCTACCGTACGGCACGGACCGGCGCTGGGGAGCTGCAGCCCAGGTGCCGTCTCTCCGGCTGCATGGTTTTGTACACAGGTTTGATGGGAACCCCAGGAGCCCCATAGTGTCTGTGCTGCTTCCGCATTACAAAGGTGGAGCTGAGACCTGCAAAGCCTAAATAACATGGACCACCTGGTCCCTCC